GAGAGATTGACCTAAACAAAAGAATTTAATCCAGCCACCTTTATTTGCATGTACCTGTCCAAACTGAAAAACCTTGTCAGTTGTAATCGTATAATATATATTAATGTTAACTAATTGGAGATCGTTTCCGTTGAATTTATTCAAAACGTTTTGTATTATGAGAAGTTTTACGATTAGCTCTTTTTTAAGTTTGATTTGTTTGTTCTTAATGGATTGATGACATTTGACATCGCTTAAGTATGTTTGCCTTCAATAAACTTAAGACGACCAAATTAATATCATTGATATGTTAATTTGAAAGTAAATGTAAACTGTTTATGAAATTTTGAACCATTCGAAAACACTAGGTATTTTTACCCACTGGCATACCATGCCTTAGCCGTATAAGCACAACTTTTAGGAATTTTCGATTTTAAATGCTCTTTAACCTTGTATTTGATTTGGCCTGCAACTGTATATTCGCGTGCCACTCATGACCTTATGTAGATAAAACGAACGTCTGGAGTCACACATTAGATATCTGATTTCTTTGACGAGTTTGAACATATTGTAAAGCCACCTAACTTTTGCTTAAGACTGATTCGTCCTGCCGAGGTTTCGATTGACGCTAGGTTGCTGTGTATACCCATTAAAAAATAAAGAAAAAACAAAACAAAACTGAGAGAATCGATTAAACTAAAACAATGCAAGAACTGATCAATCGAAAGGATAGGCATTTCCGTATGTATGCACCATATGTCATGCGAATCCCTACTTAGGATTACAGATCGTAAAAGAAATGAAGTGTCGATTTCAATCGTACCTCTTAACTCCGTTGGAGGAGTTTTTGTGTCATTAACACGTCCCTCAAGGAAAAGATCATGATTTGAAACGAACTATCTATAGTCGGTAGTAATATAAATCTGATGTTAATTGAGATAAATGAAATGTGCATGTATATTAATTTTTTTTTCTTTGAGAAGGTTTTGTAAGAATTCTAATCCGCATTAGAAAAAAACAAAAAAACAAAAAAAACCAACAAAAATAGGCCAATAAAATAAAATTGAGAATGGAAATGGGGAATGTATCAAAGAGACAACAACCCGACCATAGAGCAGACAACAGCCGAACGCCACCAATGGGTCTTCAATGCAGCGAGAAACTCCCGCACCCGGAGGCGTCCTTCAGCTGGCCCCTAAACAAATATGTATACTAGTCTGTATTCATGCGTACCATATGTTCTAGTAACAAATTCTTTGTTCTTGGTTAACATTTTTTTTTGAAAATATCCGACGACTTTTGTTCTTCACAAAGCAAATAGTATATGTTTAAAGATCGACAGTATTTTAATATATATTTTCCATACATAGAACTTATCTTATCTTTTACCCTAGGTGTATTTGGCACAACCGTTCGGAAATTTGGGTTCTTAATACTCTTCAACGTTTTATCTTATTAGAACTTTTTTTTAAATTTCGTTTGATTCGAACCTCACTGACAAGTCTTTTACAGACGAAACGTGCGTGTGGCGTACACAATTCTAAGCCTGGTATCTATGATGAGTTTATATAAATATATTCACATGCGTCAAATCATTTTACTTATTCAAGCTTATTCAATTAAATAATACTAATGTGTGTCTTGTTAGCATAGTCGTGTGAATACTTCGTTAGAATTGATTTACATTTTCTATTGTAACGTGAGATCTTACTTTTATGCACCTTTTTTAAAAGCTTGATGTCATTGATGAGTTTTTTTTTACTAACCTTTTATTTTCTGTTTGAATTGTAGAAAAGCGTAAGGTTTGTGATTTTACTTTGATACATGAATAAAATAACACATTACACAATGTTAGCACCATCAATGTTTCATTTTAACGCCATATGCATGTGTTTTTGAGAACAATAACAAGCATTAATACAATCTTATCATAAACTAAATTGCCTTTTAAGTGTTTTAGACATTGATGGTCGTCCTTTTTATATCTGATTTAAAACTATTTGTTATTTTTTATGCATTCGTGTTGTCATTGCTTTAATGTCTAAAAAGTGTCTTATTAGACCTATTGATAACTATAACAGCTCAGACAATATGCTAGTAAAGTGCTCTTGTATTCAACAAATGAATCATATATCTATTGCCTTATCTTGAGGTTGAACACGTAGAACAGATACATTCGTATTGTAGTATTAAATATATTATATATTCAAAAATACAAAAGCAAGAACAAAGTGTATAGGTCTTATCTACAAACACACTCGTTATTTATTTGTATTTTGGTAACTTAAAGGTGAATTTGTGCTTTTATGTCCTTCCTGAGCATAAGCTGTAGCTACTCACGTGTTCCTGTAGTTCTGATATAGAACAATCTAGAAAAGCACTTCGGATGCACCAAATATGTAAAGATATATTTCAAATTCGTCCGTTTCGGCAACATATATTTTATTTGCATTTTACGTGAAAACTGTTTCGTCAATGACTAACATACTCGGAAGCAGGTATCAATATAAACAGATATTCATAAACATTTCAAATAAAGAAGAAGACATTGGATAAATTCTTAATATAAACTATTAGTTTTCCTTTATACTCTACATTTGTTATCAAAAATAACCGTCACGAAAGTATTAGATGACAAATGTATAAAAACTCAGCGAAAATAAACCCCAAAGATTGCAAGTTGTTCCGCATACCATCTGCTTGGTTGAATCCTCGAGACAGTACATTCCTCTAGCAGACATTCCAATCGGTTGGAGATAAATATAGACAGCAGTACTTTACTAGTCTTCAAATCTCATTTTCTTCTTCTTTTTAACAGTTAATTCAATTGTTGTTTGTTACCTTGATTTTTCTTCTTCTTATTAGACTAACGAGACTTACGGGTGCCACATGTGAAGCAGGATCTGTTTACCCTTCCGGAGCACATGAGATCACCCCCAGTTTTTGGTGGGGGTTCGTGTTGCTAAGTTGTTAGATTTCTATGTTATGGTTTGTGTGCTCTTGTTTACCTGTTGGTCTTTTTAATTTTTAGCTATGACATTGTCCTTTTATTTTCGACTTATTAGTTTTAATGTCCCTTTGGAATTGTCGCATCTCTTTTACGAGAATTGAACATCGGGATACTAACCTATTGGCCGTACAACTCTTGTCGTGGATCAGTAATTGTGCAGTCGGCTTTCGGGTTTTCGGCTGTGGGACTTCCTGGAAAAATTTTGTCTAGAGAGGTGCGTCTAACGCAAGAAATGTATATGGTGTTTATTTAATTTTGTGTACTCTCGTATTTATATTTTATTCAGTTTTTACTTTATTGGGAAAGTGTGTATATGCAAACATTTTTACTGTATTAACAAAAGACTTTGAACTTGTCGAAAGATAAGGATTTTATACCCCGTGATTAGATTTACTTACAAAGAAACCAGGTCATTTAATTTCACATTCAGATAAATTAATGATGTTCTTTCCATTAACAATCCAACTTTTTCTGATTGGGTTCCATTAATATATCCCCCAGAACTAGAAATTAAAGAAACAATTGACACGGCTTCCTCCGCTTCATTTTTAGACTTATACCTCGAATTTGACATACACGGTCATCTCAGTACCACAATCTATGACAAATGAGACGATTTTAATTTTTAAATTATCTATTTCCCCCACCTAAGTAGCAATATACCAACTTCACCTGCATATGGGATATACATAACTTATTCGGTATTCAAGAGCTTGCAGCTGCTAATCAGACTTTGTAAAACGCCACCAGTGTCTGAGCAGAAAGTTGATGAACCAGGGGTATGTCAAAGAACATCTCGTCCTTTTTCTTCAAAAGTTCATCGGAAGGTACCAAGACCTTGTTGATAAATATTCTGTATCAACTTCACAAATAATACACGATGGTCTAGATTCTGGGTACTGAAGTTGTTTATCATCTTAATAACGTGTTATAGTATTCTTTAATTTGTCTTTTTAAATATTACTTTTACTGTTTAATCTATTTTTGGTGTTATTTATTTGACGTGGCTCGGTACTTATACATCCCGTCATTGTGTTATTGTGCTATGGCAAATATTCGTATTCTTGTCTTTCATTTTTGCTTATGTGCTTTGTCTATATGCCTTTTTGTGCTTATTTGTTACATATTTGTTTATTTTCATAGTGATTAAGATGTTGACTGTTGTACCCCTATTTTGACATTTTTACTTATTATGTCTTTTTGTTTTGTTTACACATCATTGTCAATATAATGGAATTTTATGCGAATGTCATACAAGTGAGAAGTTAAGCTAGCTATAAAACCAGGTTTAATCCATCATTTTCTACATTAGAAAATGCCTGAACCAAGTCAGGAATATGACAGTTGTTATCCATTCGTTTGATGTGTTTGAGCTTTTGATTTTGCCATTTGATTACGGACTTTCCGTTTTGAATTTTCCTCGGAGTTCGGTATTTTTGTGATTTTACTTTTAAGATTAATGTGGCCATTTAGTTAGGCCCTCTTGGTCATATGGGTCTCCAGTGGTGTTCAAGTCTTTTATGTCCTTGACTTTCCATTGTTTTGGTTTTACCATTTCTGATGAAGTTCGATCCAAAAAAAACGAATGAATAAAATGTTATTTTCATTGTAGGTATAAAATGACATTTTATTACATTTTGACAACTAACTGGAAGAAATTATTGCAACCTTGGGATCTTCACTATTTAAATATTTTAGGGAAAACTAAACAAAACATTCCAATTAGAGAAAACACTACAAAACTATCAATAATATTGCAATTTCCTTAGCAGATCTAAACCAATAAATAGTAATTATTATAATCGTGTTTAGGAAAACCTTCATCTCAGTAGTTGTGCTAGCCTGATTTTATTGACTCTTTTATGAATATCAACATTGTAACTGGCATTGTCGCCTGTCGAATTTTCGTTAATGGTGCAATACATTTTAAAAATAGATCCAGGAAAAAGAAAAAGAAAGAAATCAGACAGATGTGTTAGTAGATCTTTATTCTGAAATGTTATGTGCCATCACCTTTTTATTTTACAAAAAGTTGTATGTTATGTTGTGTGATGCTGAAAATATACAAAAATAACAGTACTTTCTTTATTGTTGTACCATGCTATAATCAGAACAGACTAGCCTACTTAATATTCTACAACCGCTTATTATTTCGCTTGCCTTAGTCGTAACAGTTTGGTTAAGTGTGACACAAAAGATGGCATCTGAACTTGATTATTATACTCTGCTTCACCATATCGATTTTAAGTCACTCCCATGGTTGTGTGTACTTTATGAAGAACATGATAAAAATCTTCATTTACTTCCATATCTTCGATGGCTTTCGACAGATGTCTGATGAAGGGAGTACTTTCTGCGACATTTCTAAAAGCTCCAGAACCTGCAATTTGACGGTTTTCAAAATACATACCTTGGATAATTTATTTTTGTACATAGACTTATATATTTTTTTCTATAAAGAACACTTAGACTTACTAACAACTAATACCTTTGATACAGTTACTGTGGATTCACTTATTTTCGTGAAAACTTGAATTCATGGTTTTACCAATTCTGCATTCAAGACTGTTGAAAACTTTTATTTTATTGATCAGGGAAATACAAATTAATCATTTAGGTTGATCCAAAATACTAAAACCAAACCATATTTTTTTATCGAACGGAAATTCATGCTTACTCGGGAACTTTATTGTGTAAACAAACCAAGTCAGGAACAATAATGTGCACTAAGTATTATTTTTCCTGAAATATACACATTAGATTCCAAGTTACATTTAGTTTCCCAAAAAGCTCATTGTAAAACTATTTCCTAATTTAGGCAGAAAAATACTTAACATACAAAAAGGCACAAAAGGCTAAAATGAATAGTTAAGATAAAATTCATTTGAGAAACATTGACACAGGAGTGTTTACATTGTTAATGTCACATCTCATTTATGTTTCAAAAGGGAATATCTATAGGAAAGGACAGATGGATGGAAGAAAATTAGCATTTCTAAATCCCTTCTCTTTATTATTTTTTTTTTGGCTTTGGCTTTTGGCTTAAAAAAATCATTATTACCATTACTGTTTAGATCAATAATTATCATTTAAATAATACTCTGAAAAACAGAAATAAACGAAACAACATAATAGACATCCGTCTAGAACTGAAGGCTGAAGGGTATTAGGCGCCTGTAAACATGTTTTCCTCCGCCACAGTCTGTATGTGCTTGTCCCAAGTCAGAAGCCTTTAATTTAGTAGTTGTCGCCAGTTGCTGTAAATCATATGTTTTTTTCGACAAACATCAGCCATTAATATTCTCGTTTGATTTATTTTACATTCTTAATCAAGAGTTTTTGATAGCTTGGTATGCGGTATTGGTTTTCTTCAATGATGAAAGCCTAACGGTGACCTATACTTGCTAACTTCTATGTCATTTCGTTTCTGGATGAAAATTGTCTCATTGGCAATCATATTTCAATTTCTTATTTATATTATATACTTTGATCTTGCTTTCAGTTACAGAGGACATTCTTTAAGACAGTTGGATTTATCATTTGGTTTGTGTTTATGATACCTTTTATACCTTTTTTTAGAGTTAAGAGCATTTAAAATACTGGTTTTTATTATATTTTTTCCTGTACGTTTTAATAATCTATTGCTCAAAAAAGGGAGGATTGAGATCACAAAAAATAAAAGTTTAAACTTGCTTCATTTTCATATGGTTATCCCAAACCAGGAACTTAGTCAGTGATTTATTTACGCCATATCTTGGATGTTATCTGTTATTCGGAGATACTGATTTAATTGCTAGTCTTTGGTTGTTTTAGAGCTTGAAATATTTGTAGACAACTGTCTATTGTTTCCTTCTGGATGTCTTTTGTTCTTGTTGAGTCATAAGGTTCATTTCTTCTTGATGTACACATCTAATTTTTTTCATATTATATAATCTATATTTCTGGTAACTCTTCTTTAAATCATAAAGATCTTCATAAGTTTGAAATCTTACAAGATTCTATAAAATCTAAAGCATATGTGTCTCTTTGGAACTATATGGCCTTGAATTTCAACTTAATCTTCAAGTTTCAAATAGCCAGAATTTGGTTTTGAATTGGAACTATTTAAAAACATTTGCTTCTTTGTTAAAAGAAATCTATTCATAAGAGTACATTTTCGGTTTCAAAATCAGCACATTTTGGATATTTTGTCAAAATACGTTGATTTTGAGCATTTTTCGGATCTAAAACTTTTAGGAAACCCTTGATCGCAACCTAGAATTCAAAATGTTCTGTAACCAAGAGTTGCAATGATGATATTGAATCCCTAGACACAAAAACTTTCTGGATCTTGGGTGGCGGCCAAAGTAAATTATGCTAATAACTGTTAAGAATTATTCAAAATTTGATCAAAACTGACGTTACAACTCAAATAATGCATACTTAGAGAGTCAATACTTCGTCATTTTTAATATGATGGTAAAAATGAAGCTATTTTGTATTAATAGTAATATCATAACTATTTTTATGTGAAATTTGTAGTATTATAGCCTAATTAAAAAAACATCAAAATCTAAGAGCTAATTTTAACACTTCGTTATTTTACTCCTTTACCTCTCTCACAAATACATCATATGATCTACATATTAATAAAATACATTTGCATTTAATGAAAGTACCTGAAACTGCTGCATATACAAATAAAAAATCAGCTTCATTTGGAAAACGAATAGTTTTTGTGATAGGTATCCCAATCCATTCAGGATATTCACTAGGATAACAACTATCATCATCTCGGTTTGGATCAAAAACGTCAACATTAATCCCACCACTCAAGTGTGTTCCTCTGCATGACTAAAGCAAAACAAATTATTGTAACTATCTATTAGTATTTTGTAGCAAAATTTAATGCTGCTGAAACTTCTAAATGGAATCAATTTTTGATTTAGTAACAAATCTGCACGAAAATCATAATTACCAATGCAAATTGGCCCCATATAATGAAAATTTTCACAAAATATCCAGAAGTTGTGGTTTCCATGTCCTGAAGAAAACACATATTCAATTGCATTAAAAAAATAAGTAGATTTCACAAAAAAACAAAAAAAAAAAACTGTGAAAAACAGTACACAAATACAAGATCCAGCATTTTGTCAAAAGTATTGAAGGTGAAACCATTTTTGCTTACATAGTCCATCATAAAGTTATCAAATATGTCTTGTGTATTACACGAGAACATTTTGGAGTCTAAATTTACAAATACATCTGAATTACTGTAATTTCCACAAATTTCGCTTTGTTTTATATATCAGGGTTTGTACTCTTTTTACAACAAAAATTCCAAGGTTTATTCAGGATTTACCAAGGGCATTTGTCTATAATTGACATTAACAGATTACATAGATGAAGTATCACTTAGTTACAATTGACTTTAAACCATTTGTACAAGCTCTATGTACAGATGTGTTGAACACTTTTAAATGTGTGTGCTGATCGGTACCTGAACTGGTGGGGAGATTTGAATTGTGAAAGGGAAATAAATCAAAATTTAAAACCTTCTATTGCTATGTGTTTCTTTTTTCTACATTGACTAGAGGTGTAGGGGGAGGGTTGAGATCTCACAAAACATGTTTAACCCCGCCGCATTTTTGCGCCTGTCCCAAGTCAGGAGCCTCTGGCCTTTGTTAGTCTTGTATGTTTTTTTCAATTTTAGTTCATTTATATGTTCTGGAGTTAAGTGTGACGTCCATCTTCACTGAAGTAGCACACTATTTTATTTAGGAGCCAGCTTAGGACCAACTTCGGGTGCGGAATTTTCTCGCTGCATTGAAGACCCATTGCTGGCCTTCGGCTGTTGTCTGCTCTTTGGTCGGGTTGTTGTCTCTTTGACATATTCCCCATTTCCATTCTAAATTTAATCATTTGTTTGAAAATCTAAGGTGTGTTTAAGATTATTGCAGTAACACGAATTTCAAGGGCATCTCCATGCCTGAAACATCTAATATTAGAGTCATTGCTTTTCCCCATTTTTCAATGTAGAATGGGAATCTTGTATTTTTGAAAACAATGTGACTGGATTGATTTCATACTTATTGGAACTAGCATCTTTAACAAAAATTGCATGTAGGATTTTCAGAAATTGCCTAAAACAATCTCATAACTTTGTTTATTGATCACATATAACAAACAAAATTGCTGAAACAAAAAATAATTGAATAGAAGGTTGCCATATTAATCAAGCTGTTTCATCTCAGCAATCTTTACTTCAATATTGGTCACATGAATGGCTTCTGTTGTAACTTTTAATTTGTAGAATTTATCATATCTGCTTAAAATATGTAGAATTTGCTAAACAAACCAAGCTGTTGTTATGTCATCACATTACTTAGGGCATTTTGTTGTGCCAAAATCAATAAGAGTAAAAACGACATGAACAAGGACTCCTCTAAATTATTGCATTTTGCTCTGTTTAAATATTATTTAAACAAAATATAAATAAAAATTATTAAATATGTATCACCCAACAAGTTCCTATCAAACAACATATTATAGCGTTTCTATAATTTCTCACCTGTGTAATAAGAATTTTCGGTTTGAATCTCAGTGGTGGACAATGTGTGGCATTAAAGGCTTCTACAATATCTCCAGTTCTTATCAACTTATCTGTGGCATAAACACCATTATCTGTTCCATGGGACAAAATCACCAATACAAAACAATCCACGGCTTTAAAAGATAAACGTCTCTTTGCTACAATACATGTTAAATGTACTTTTAAAAATTTGAACAAAACATACACCAGAAATGATCATTTCCAATCCTTATATATTGTTTCTTTACATATCCACAGAGGTTTAAGCTATTTTAGCTAATATACGTTCCAGAAAAGGATTTTGAACACTTGAACCATATTCACATGAGAAATCATCTAAATTGATTCAAATACAGACTCGTTTTCGTAAACCTATTAGCATCAACATCTAGATTATACAACAGGTTCTATTAGTTTTTTAAGTTCCCACAGTTCTCATTTCAATCTTTTTAAGGGGCGTTGTCAAGAGTTTCATGTAGTGTGGTATTTTATATTGTTCGTTGAATCATCAAGCTAAAGAGTTGATTGGACGGAACGAGAGTTTGGATTGTCGCCTGAAGCCAAATTGTTGTGTGATAATTCAAAGCGATTAATTATTATTACTGAGAGTTATGAGTTATGTGAATCATCTATATATTAACACTCTCAAAATGTTATTTGTTGCACATATTTAATTACCAATGTAAATGATAAATCTATTGATTCGCTAACTTCTTCTGTGTTACAGTTACACTTTATGACAGCTAGTTATCTTTTTCAGACAGATCAAATTTCATGATTATTACTTTCAAATTGACTAAAAAGTTAATGCGAACTGGATGGATTGTTTTAATAGAGTTTCAGTTCTATTCTATTTTAAAAAATCTAATGATATCAATAATAAATGTAGAAGATAAATATCTCTAAATTGATCAACATAGTACATGGTTGTCAATAAATAACTAAATATAAGTTATATTGCATTCTATAATTATCTCTTTCAAACCAATCCATAGTATCAGATTTTGATAGATTTGTTTCTATTTCATATTCAAATCCAAGCTCAGAGAATCGTTGGGATATACGAGAAGCGTCTATATGACTTCCAGCGAGATCTCCTAAATTTGCATCATGTACGTGGAATTCTGTGTTGCTGATTACAAGAAATATTCCTGTTTCTATTTTGTAGTATTTACTATCAAACTCTTCCTTAGATATTGCAACTGTTATAGGTGCTGTGTCACTGAGAAAATAGCATATTTCTTATTCAAAGAAAATTTGAGAAAATCTATCAATAATTAAACAATTTTATGTCAGGAATTACGTTACCACACATTTCCTTAAACCTATTACTAAATGCTTTCAAAAATACTTCGATTTGGTGTGGAAGTTAAGCTGTACTTTTAGAAATCTTATAAAATTTGGATTTCACATCCAACGTTCTACGTTGAAAATTTTATATCCTAAAGATGATATGATCCATATTCAATTTATTTTTCTATTGAATACACTCTCTATTTAACCATATCAATTAATCATTGTAGTAACATCTTTGAATATGCCTCTGTCGGTACTAACATTGATGTTATTTTTAAGACACAACTAAATAAATTGAGGATGTATGCCAGTAAGCTTCAGAATGACCCTGGACGTTACCTGAAATGTAATGATTAACATTACCTTGCTCTTTTTTGTCTCCAGTAACCAAGATCAAAACTTGCATCTAGAACTACAAAAATAAAAAAATACCAGTTTGGCTAAAAAAAATTACTGGAAATTACAATAAAGAGCTGCGCTATGAGCGCACAATACGCCCTTCGCTTTTTCAACAGATAAAGTTCCATAACGCCTCAATGTCATATCAGAAATTTATAAAAAAAAACTAAAGGAAGATTATTTTAGTAGATATAAACCAGACACCAAAGTCTCATAAAAACTGCTCAAAGCGCTTTTGAGTTGTTGTGCGAAAACTGGAAAATCCTCCTTTTTTATCAATAAAATCCCATAACTCGGAAACGTAAAATTCAAAATTTATAAAAATCTAGAGGGAACTTAGGTCAAAAGATATAAACAATTCGCTAAAGTTTCATGAAAACTGCTCAAAGCATTTTTGACTTATTGTCTGAAAACTGGAAAATCACCCTTTTTAATGAAAAAAAACCATAACTCGGAAATATATAATCTATAATTTATAAAAATTTAAAATGAGCTTACGTCTATAAATATATACAATTTCATTTAAGAGTCATAAAAATTGGTTAAAGTGTTTTAGAGTTATTGTCCGACATGTTGACGACGGACGGACAGACGGACGAACAGACGGACAGACAGACGGACGGACAACGGTATACCATAATACGTCTCGTAAACGGGTGTATAAAAATAATTTATCAACTTGAGAATTTATACCGTTAAAAAAAAGAGCCACATATCAGTTGGAATAACAGGATTGCAAAGATTCAGCGTATAAACAGTCTGCAACCAACTTCGACAACATGGCTTTAGACCCAGGAGGCCGTATTGCGGAGCAATATTGACGCCGTTACTCAGACGGGAAAGAGTCTGATTGTGCAACAGATTGAGGGGCTGGACATTCAAAAACTGGCAAAGAATCTGGTTCAGCGATGAGTCCCGTTTTCTGCTGCAGAAACGTGATGGAAGCATACGTGTATACCGGCGCTGTGATGAACTTTTCGCTTCCTCGTGTTATCAAGAAGAGGACCGTTTACGTGGAGGTAGTGTCATGATGTGGGCGGCTATCTCGAATGACCGTTAGACAGTAGTGGTACATGTTCAAGGTTATTTAACAGCTCAAAGGTTCAGAGACGAAATTCTCTAACCTCACCTTATGCGTGTTATTGATCGACAGATGGAGTTATTCCAGTAGGACAATGTAAGCCATGACACAGCGCGTTTAACGATGGACTATTTTGAGCAGACCAACATCAATGTGCTACCATAGCCTTCAAAATATCTAGACTTGAATCCGATTGAACACCTATGGGACCAACTGGATAAACGTGTGCGCCAGCGTAAAACTCCGCCTCAGACTCCGACAAATTTTGCAACAGGAATTGTGAGCAATTTTTCTACATTTTCACTAGTACTGTTAATCTTGTCTTGTAGTTTTCCCCTGATAAGGAGAGATGCTCTTTTTTTTTCTTTTATAATTACATCATATAAAGGTCATCATTTGAACTTCCATTTATGTTCTACTTTCATTGTAATATAAGCTCCATTAAAGGAATTTTGTTTGATTTTCATATTTGACTTGCATATAAGGCGAGATAACAATGCTTCACAAATCGACAAGAAAACAAAGCTAAGGTTTGAAATAATTTGCTGTTTGTGTATCCAAAACTCTATGTAATGAATACCTCTACGAGAGGTTTATTGTTTTATATAACGAATTTGCTTTATTGTAACAAATAGGCTAGCACAACATGTATGAACAAAGGTATACAGAATGGTATATTCATAGCATGGAAGTTTTAGATTAAAACAACAATTGAATATATAATGGTATAAAATTAGGTTAACCGTAAATAATATTCTCTAATACCGAGGGAATCTCAATTCGTTCTTGGATATCTATTTGTGGTCTTTAAATCAAAATTGATAAACCAAAAACCGACATTATTAATTAGTCTGTAATTGTGATTCAGGGACTCCAGTATTAGTTATATTCCTCTTCAGAGAAGTTTGTAAAAGAAAAGTATTTCTCTAAGTTCATGCGTTCCTTTAAAAATTTATAGCATTTAAATTTGGCAATATTGTAAGCAAAATAATCTTAGTTTTAACAAAATTCGATTTAATTTCCGAAGTTACCAAATAGAATAAATTTGATATTCAAAGGCAGTTCAATGTTTGTCATTTCAAAAATCAAATTGTTTAGTGCATGCCAGAGACTGGAGACCATACGACAACTCCAAAATAGATGTTCTATTGTCTTTACTTCATCTTTGCAAAATTTACATGTATTGCTACTATCTATTTGCATCTTGTAAACATGGTAAAGTAGTGTATAAGTTCCAAAATTTTATGGATAATTCTATATTGGAAACAGCAAAGCTTTGTGTTTCTATTATATTTAGCACACGAAGTGTGTATTCTTATCCAGTTAATACAAGTTATTTTAAGACAGTTTTCCCATTTTTCCTCTGCGGCAAAAGTAATATATTTCTAATTGAATGCTTTGTACATGTCCTTTGAACCTTTATTTGATTCAAAGAAAACAACTTATATTGAAGGTAGCATTGCTTGAACTTTTTTCTCCGTAACATTGATATTGATCGTGTTCAGCCACTCTTTAGACGAGTGTGATATTACATAATAATGTAAAAAAAAAGGTCTAAATTGATATAATTGTTGGAAAGTTCGAAATGACATAATTATGCCCTGGTTATTTAACAAGTCATGCACTATCCAAATTCCAGCTTTAGCACAGTCTTTATAATAAACACTCGAACCACCAATTTTAGTGTTTTCTCCATCCTATAAAGGATAAGATAGAACTTCATCAATACATCTGGGTTTTCTAATTTAATTTAGGGGTTTCTAAGCATCGAAACCTCTTGCCAACATTGATATGATGACCTTTTCATGGGCCCAATGTAACTTAGTTCAATAAAAATGTATTTGGTCCACAATAGAGACTAATCTCTAAAAACTTTGAATTTGAGTTATAAAGTCTTCTCATCCATCATCCGTGTAAGTTTCCGAACCTGTATACATGCTTTTAAATTTAGCATTTTAAACCACCAATATAATAATCTTGACATAAAAGATTTCGCTTGACCTTATCTGGTTTATTATCCCTGATAAATGCATACATTTTATATGGTTAAATACGTAACATATTCTCATCTGGACTAGGGAGAGATAGAAACAGATGATTTAATTTAGAAATGACCAAAGTTTTCAAAATGGTAATCTTTCCAAAGGGGGGTGAGATACTGTTTTGACCATGTTTTTCAAAGTGTTGTTTATATTATCTGGCCAATAATATAAATACATCATTCTATCTAGATCAACTGAAAAGTATTCCAAAAAGATTAAATGTACTGGAGCCCCAAAAGTAGAAATTCTGTATCATCTCTTTACTATTTCTTACTAAAATGCCTAATATTTCTGCACATAGCAAGAACAAAATAAGGGAATAAAGGATCCCCCCGTCTACAGCCACTCTCTATAGTGAAGAATTCTGACAGAAAACAGTTTTATGTCACTGCAGCTGTTATTCTGTTATAGAAAGTTTTAACCCAGGCTATATATGAATCGTCAAAATTAAACCATCTTTATGTATCATAAAGAATGGACCGAACTATGGAATCAAATGCCTTCTCAACCAACAAGAGAATTCCTGAAATATTATTTTCTACAATAAAATGAAGGATATCGTATTCTAATCGACAATGTTCCCCTATATATCTACCTGGAATAAAAGCGGGTTTGATCAGAACTTATTAATTTTGACAAAACAGATTTTATTATCTCTGCTATACAGCTTGATGCCAAAATATATGTAGAATTTAGGAGAGTAATATGCCTCCAATTTTTAAGAAATTGGTTTGGTTTACCTTCTTTTGGAATACATGTAATCACTCCTTGCGTCTGTGTGACTGACATTTGACCCTTCCCATATCCACAATTTATAACTCTAAGAACAAATTTACCAATATTAATCCAAAAGAATTTAAAAAATTCTGCAGTGTAACCATCAGAGCCTGGACTCTTGATATTTGTCATTCTCTTTAATGCTGCAGTTAATTCAGAGAAACTATTATTTCCCTCCAATAACTGTTTGCATCCTCGTTCAACTTCGGTATATTATCATAAAAAATATCTCGTGTTTAATCAACACTTTTCAAACAATCTTGTTTTTTATAAAGTTTCCCATAAAACACTGTTGTCTGACTTAAGATTTTCTTTTTGTTCTTTCACTACAACCCCATTTTTTAATGTAAGATTCTGTATAGTCTTATAATTATAATTCCTAGTCTCTGGAATTAAAAAAAAGTTAGTACGTTTTCCCCTTCTTCAAACCACTGACGTCATATTTTTTATTCTAATAAAAAAAATATTAAAAAGCTTCTGTAAATTAAACCACTGTGTAATATATTAAAAGTATCACGTGGTTTCTTCTTATGTCCTACGAATTACAATGTATGTAATTGTTTACAGTTCTGTAATTTATTTCCCCCATCCGAAGTAATGATTTAAAATGTTAACTTGGCGTGCTATACTAGATAGAAATGCAAACGTGAAAGAAAGCACTCTTCCCTAATGCGTCAACGCTAAATAAAGGCAACAGTAGTATACCTATTCAAAATTCATAAATCGATTGAGAGAAAAAACAAATCCGGGTTACAAACTAAAACTGAGGGAAACACATCAAATATAAGAGGAGAACAACGGCACAACAGAAACACAACACTAAAACGCGGAGAAAAGCTACAGCTCTAATATATAACTGCCCTATTTTTGTTTTCATAGAAAAGACCGGGCTAATTATAACAAAATAACCTTTTTATGTGTTATATTTAAACGTTGAAATGAACTCTGAATTACTTTAATAAAAACAAACGTTAATTTTCCGATTTGGCCACAAGCCTCGACCTAGTCAAAATAATTATGACGTCTGGAAAGGCTATTCTATTTTTTTCCTTTGACGCCTTATGCAATAATTATGAAAATTATTTGGACTAGCCTCGACCATGGTAA